CTTCGACGCGGAAATAGTCCTGTCGCATTCGCCGCACCGCTGCTTTGCCTGCAGGCAAAAAAAAAAAAAAAAATCAAGACCATCGAGACGAAAAGGCAAGGGTGGTGTGAACTGATGCCGAGCCACAAGCGGGCGAGCGAGCGAGCAAGCGACTGCGTTGGTCCGTTCATGAATTGACACAGAGGCTTGAACAGATCAGACCACCAAATACAAACGTCAACGGCATCATCACCACCTCATCCACAAGAGCACCACTCTTCCTTCACCTCCCCTCGCACTGTTCTGTGTCGCACCGTGTGACAGGAAGGAGCGGAGCTGGATGATGAGCTGCCGGAACGCAAACACGACCGACGCCGACGCCGCGCCAACCTGCAGCACGCGCACGCGCAGTGGTGGTGGTGGTGGTGGTGGTGGTGGTGAAAGGAGAGAGTACAACAGGTTGGCGTGTTAGGCAGTGATTGTGAACTCATGAAGCAGTGGGATGGTTGGTTGTTTGCTTGGTCGATTCCTGTGATCACTGAATCTGCAATCACTGAATCTTGGTACATGATCTTGGTACACGTAATGACAAAAACACACATGCACGCACGACCCAACCAATGGCTCATCCACCGAAACGAACCTGCGGGCGGGCGTACAGCCCCGCGAGGAACGAGAGCATGCGCTGGCGTGCGGCGATGATGGCGGCAACATCGCGAGCAATGACCTCCTCCAGCCGAACAAACTGGAACCCGTCGTCCACGTGCGCTGACGTCCGCGGTATGACGAGCACGCGCGTATCGTCGTCGTCACCAGCAGCGGCCGCCTGTCGTGTGCACACGCGCACACAGTGCATTGAGGCGGGGGATTATGGACAAGGGGACAGGGCAGTTGCGTGAGTGCATGGATGTGTGTCAATGTTAGTCGTATGCGGTAGTTGGAGTACGTGTCCGTGTGTGAGTGCGTGGTGGTGTGTAAATGTGCGGCTTTGTTGCACGTCGGGACGTAGAGAACTGTACGTGAGCAAATTGTCATCGCACATGTTCAAGCACATGGTGGGTGCATGGCGTGCACGCGAGCTCACCTGCGCCGAATCGCTTGCTGTTGGGGTGACGTCGACGAGAATGCCGGTTGCATTGTGGCGCAGCAGCACCTTCGTGTCGCCAATCACAACGTGGCTTCCCTGCAACATAACCAACGACAGCATGGACGCACACACGGACAAAGGGGAAGACAGTGAGTCGGAGACATGAAAAAGTAGCACTGTCAAATCGTCAAAGGTAGGCACGTGAGTGCGCACACCCGCAGGCGCGCTTACTCAGGACCACACAGCCCACACACATGCACAGTCACAGTCACATGCACACACTGTCACACGCACTCACTGTCACACGCACACACACACACTCACACACAAACACACGCACACACACGCATATACACACAACCACACACACAAACACACAAACACCCAACGCAACATGCGGAACGCACTGGCATCATGGGCTTCTTTGGCAGAATGTCCAGGACAGTGCTGCTGTTGGAGGGAATGATGGTGTCACGGGCACGCGCCGAGCTCTCAGCAATGGCACTCGCCCTCACCCTGCCATCACCGTCATCACCATCATCATTGCCATCAAGCACGTCAGCTTCGCCCATCATCTCCATAGGCTCCGCTTCAATCAGGGGCACGCTGACAATGTAGTCCTCCTCGCTTCGAGGTCGCACCGCATTCGCTGATCGCCGCGGCGTTGCCAGCAAGCGATAGGTCACGCTTGGCGAGCGACTGCCAGCGGCTGATGCCGAAATTGGTCGGGCGAGTGGTGAGAGCACGCGTGAGCGAATGCGGCCGCGGTACATGGACTTTCGGGAGGCGGCAGGGTGTGTTGCGCCCTGGAGCTGTGATCGGGAGCGCACGTGGTAGGGCGGGTGCTGCTCGTCCTCGTGATGCTCCTGACCATCATCTACACCGTCGTCGCCGTGATTGTCATCGTCATCGTCATCATCATTGTTGTCATCGACGCTGCGCGTGCGCTGCCTTCCCCTTGTCTCAACTCCTCTGCTGTTGTCATCATCATCCTCGTCATCGTCGTCGTCATCATCAGGAGCACCAACTGTCACACCAGGGGTGGTGCGACGTGGAACCTGAAGAGAGCTGCCACTCCCACTCCCACTGCCACTACCGCTGCCGCTGGCTGTTGTTGCCAGCATTCGGTGCAACGGACGTTGCGGTTGCGACTGCTGCTGTTGGTGCGCTGATGATGTTGACAGGGTGCGTCCACTGGTGCTCCCGGTCCGCGTTGCCGTTGTGGAGGCCGATGTAGATCGTGGCAGCGGTGTTGGGGTTGGCGATGCGCGTGGGTTGATCGTCTCGCCACGAACAAGCCCGCGCTGCTGCTGCTGCTGCTGCTGCTGCTGTTGTCGTGATTGTGATTGGTGTTGCTGTTGGTGCTGTGTGGATGTGCTATCGTCGTCGTCATAATCATCATCTGAGGGCGCGTCGACCATCACCGTCTGGGAGGACATGACCTGCAACATCAGGCACTCGCCAGTGGCAAGGCTGACGGTGTTCGTCGTCGTCGTCGCGGTGGTGTGGTGGTGTCATGGCAGTGGTGGTGTCATGGCAGTGGTGGTGGTGGTGGACGTCAAAAGGACAGGAATTCAGACAAATTTGAGAACAGCACATGCACTACAACACGCGACACACATACACACACACACACATGCCGCACCTCCTGAGCCTGATTTTGTCTGCGGCGGTGACGGCGGACCCGCGCCACGAGGGCGCCACCTTCTCCACCCGCCACAGCGTTCGTGCCTGCCAGACCACGGATGTATGTGTGTGTGTGTGTGTGTGTGTGTGTGTGTGTGTGTGTGTGTGTGTGTGTGTGTGTGGGTGTGTGTGTGTGTGTGTGTGGGTGGGTGTGTGCAGACGTGAGTGAAGGGACGGGTGGCAATGCACATGCACACATGTGCATGTGTGTTCGTGTGTGTGCGTGCACACGCTGACGTGTGGGCGCGAGTCACGGTAGGAGCGGCTGTGAAGGATTGTGTGTGCCGTCCAAAAGATGTGCAAGTGCAAAGGGTCAGTCACCTCTCGCAGTCCTTCTGGTGCCGACGGAAGGATTTCAACAGAAGACACAAACGTGTGGGCCGTGGCATCTGCCATCATGATGTTGTTGAAGTGGCAGTGGTGACAATAGTGAGCAGGCAAGTGAAGGTGAATGGAAAACAGCATGTGCATACAACGGACAAAGGAAAGAAAGTTCATGTCGCACGCACCCTCACCTTCGCCGCCGTGGCGCATGCGGGCAAGATGCCATTTGACCGTGTTGGTCTGCAATGCAACGCGCACAAGCACACAACACGTCGGTAAGTGGTGTCAATGTGTGTGTGTGTGTGTGTGTGTGTGTGTGTGTGTGTGTGTGTGTGTGTGTGTGTGTGTGTGTGTGTGCAGCTGTGTTTGCTGTTGTTGCTGTTACCAAACCATGAGGACTTCAGCAACAAAGGCGCAATTTCACTTGCAAGCGGAGAAAGACAGTGTTCCCAAGCACAAGAATCCCCACAGCAAACAGCAAACACACACATGCACCCACACATGCACCCACATGCACACACACACATGCACACACACACACATGCACACACACACACACACATGCACACCAACGCACCGGGGTGGCGAGGACGCCTTTGCTGCGCAATGATCGCAACTGCACGACATCATCCCCGACGAGCGACGGCGTGACGGCCGGTGCATGTGCGCGCGCACGATAGGGGATGATGCACCACGAGGTCTTGTAGAAGGATGCGACGACGCGCATGCTGGTCTGGCCGAGCTCCACACGCACATACCGCTGCTCCGGTTCGCTCACCAGATACACCTCGTCTCCCATGCACACCTGCAGGTTGAGCAGAGCGACAAATGCGACGCGAAAGGGTGGGTACACGCTCGTCAAGATGATGCAGATGATGACGGGAGTGGTGTGCATGATTGGGAGGGGGGTGATGATGACACAAACAAGCGACACAGACCATGTGCAACCACAAGGAAGAAGCACACGCGTGTGCTTGTATTCGCGCGCGGGGTCATCCATGCCATTGCTGCATCACCCAGCGGATACACCGCCCACAACACACGACACACACGTACGTAACCCCCACATGCACTCACACACACGCACACATACACACATACACACATGCACACATACACACACATACACATACACATACACACACATACACACACATACACACACACATACACACGCGCGCGCGCACCTTCTCGCCCTCGCTGCGCTGGTGTGTGGCGGACTTGACGCGGAACCACGTCTTTGCACTGCTGGTTGCGGCGGCACCAGGGTCAACCAGCCCAACGCGCAGAGCTGCGATGGGACAATGTGCAACACAACGCGAGGCGGGGGAATACATGAGACGTGTGCAGTTAGTGGGGTGGTCGTACGCAAACGCACGTGTACTCACATAGCCGCACATACGCGCACGCACGCACAGCAGCTGCTCACCGAGGCCCTGTCCACCATCGCCTTGTGTCGGCGCGTCTGTGTGCAAGCATGCGAGCAAGCGCTGGCTGGCCACGTGCATCAACTAATCCACCACCGCAGAAAGCAGAAGACGACATGCAGCCACGCGCATACGGACGTGAAGACACGCACACGCACACGTACACACACGCACATGCACACACACACACACACGCACCCACACACGCACCCACACGCACACACACGCACACAATGTGAGGACATGAAGGAACACAAAACGCATGTGAGTGCACAGTCCACGTGCTTATGTCCGCAACACGTCCCCTGCAACCTCATCCGCCCCACACACACTCTCACGCACTTACACACCTGTACTGCGTGACCGTAAAGCACGGTCTTGTTGGTGCCGGCCTGGAAGGCCGCACTGGACATTTGCGGAAGTCCACGAGCAGAGACCGCCATGACGACTTGAAACGTGCAGGTGGTGACATCGCCGACACTGGCCATGGGCGTCTCCTCGGGGTGCTGGGTGAGATCGCGTGCCGTCAGGCCAGTCGTGCGGCTGGTGAGAGACGGTTCGCGCATGCTCGCATGGCGTGAGCGCTGCTCGTTCTCCACAGTCACTGTCGGGGCCAGCAGTCCAAGCGAGTAAGTCGAGCTGTTCAGGAGAGTTTGCTGGTCCTGCTCCTGTTGTTGCTGCTGCTGCAGTTGCTGTTGCTGCAGAGGCAAAGATGAGGAAGACGAGGGGTCATACTCGGCCGTGCCGAGCGGCTTCAGGCTGCACGCATCGCTTCCAAAGGCCTCCCCCGTGAGCAGCCCCGTGGCCAGCCCACTGCAGCACGACAGCTGCACCAGGTCGCCCGTCTGCAGCGCCTTCTCTCCTCCACCACCCTCCATCTTGCTTGGTGTGTGCGTGCGTGCAAAGTACTGATTGTGCTTGTCGCAGGAACTACTATTCCGCGACCTCGCACAAAAACGGTCTCCGACAGCACAATTATTCTGTAACGAACCACCGCACATACAGCAACGCAATATGGATCAGAGCAGCGTGGACGAGTTCTGTCGGCAGACGGGGCAGACGCCGCAGGTGGCGCAGTCGTTCCTCAGCCAGCACGGCGGCAACGTGAACGTACGTAACAAGGCAAACACGCCTTGTCTTCGCCGAGGGAGGGAGTTGTGTGGTTGTTTTCTGATGATGATGAGGAGAAGGAGGAGGAGGAGTGGGGTGAACAGTGTACCATGCACCAACCGAGCAAGACAAAGACAATTGTCGACAACAGGATTGATGTGATGTGGCCTCTCACAGCATGCTGTTGTTGTTGGCATTGATGGTCGTGTGCCATGCCCTGACTCAATGTACTGCATGCAATCGCTTGTGTACAGGCGGCTGTGAGCGCGTTCCGGTCAGAGGCTGCCAGCTTTGGCTCGCAGGCGCAGTCTGGCTCAAGCGGGTTTGCCACGCTCGCCAGCATGCAGAGGCAGAGCGCACCGCCTTCCTCCGGGCGCCGCTTCGCCACCCTGGCAGCGATGAACAACGACAACGATGATGACGATGACGATGACAGGAGCAACACATACTATGCCGGTGGCCAGCGCAGGTCAGATGAACTGTCTACTGTGTGTGTGTGTGTGTGTGTGTTTGTTTGTGTGTGTGTGTGTGTGTGTTTTCAATCTGACCATTTCCTCCATTGTTCGATCCACGCTCACGCGTGTACATTTTCTTGCTTCGCCTTCCCCAATCCCTTGATGCTGTTCCGCCAGCGGCGTCGCTGTTGAGGGCGGCCCTCACGGCAGACAAGACATGATGCAGAGGCTGATTGCGGAAGCAGAAAAGTGAGCGCAAGTCAACAATGTATATATGTGTGTGGCACGCGTTTGTAAGCTGCATGAGCCTCTCTCTCTCGCTCTCGCTCGTGCGTTCACACATGTACCTGTTGCATTACAGGCGCGGCATGTCATTTGAGGAGTACATGGCAGAGGAAGCAAAGCGCAAGAAGGCCGCCAACAAGTTCCGCGGCCAAGGTGCGAATCCATCGTAGTGTTGCTAATGTATGACGATTTGCGCCTCCATGGTCTTTCTATCTATTTGCGTGCGTGCTGATCTTCTGCTGCCTCTGTCCGTTTGTCTATCTGTGTGTGTCTGTGCGTCTGTGTATCTGCGTGTGTGTGTGTGTGTGTGCGTCTGTGTATCTGCGTGTGTGTGTGTGTGTCTGTGCGTCTGTGCGTGTGTGTGTGTCTGTGTGTGTGCGTCCGTCTGTCTGTCTCCCACTGCCGTACGTGCGTGCGTGTTGAAGGTCACACGCTCGGTGATGAGGAGCGGGAGCCAGAGGCCGTCGGCGTTCCCTTGGCGGAACAAGTCGAGGAAGCGGGACCAAAGCACGTGCGTCGCCGCTGCGCTCTTGTTGCCGTCTCAATCTGTTGCTTTGTGCCTTGTGGTGTTTGCCGCCAGCCAACCTGCTGTTTGCCTCTCCCTCGTTCTGTCTGCTCGCCTGTCTGCTCGTCTCACGTGGGTGTGTCCGTTGTCCTGGTGATCACCCCCTTGAAATTGTCGCCGAATCGTCACGTGTCCGCCTGCGCCGCCTGCTATTTGTTACCGCTGCAGGTGAAGCTGGTGCTGTGGAAGAATGGCATCTCGGTTGATGACGGTAAGGAGGTGCCCGTCCTCCGCCCGTACGAGCAGTCGGCGTCCATCATCGGCGCCATCCAAGCAGGGTACGCTTTCGTGTTGTGTGTGTGTGTGTGTGTGTGTGTGTGTGTGTTGTGTGTGTGTGTTGTGTGTGTGTGTGAAATGACTGAATGTGCACACATGTACTCGTGCGCGTGTGCTCACCCCTTCGCGACCACCATCATCATCACCACCATCACCACCGTCATCAGCGTGGTGCCGCCTGAGCTCCGCGTGAAGTACGGCGCTGCCATTGATCTCGAACTCGTCGACAAACGCGGCGAAAACTTCACACCGCCATCGCGCCCCTTTGGCGGCGCTGGGCACAGGTCCGCTTGCCAGCTTGCCAGCTTGCTTGTATGCATGCATGCATGCATGTTTGCTTCCTCGTGTGTCAATGTCTGGGCGTGTCCGTGGGTTTGCTGCAAGCTTCAGATTCATTGACTGCATGCCGACCCCCCCCCCCCAAACTGTGTCCACCTGCATGCTATTCAACCAACTCCCCCCCCCCCCCCTTTCCCAATCCTCTTTTTCATCGCGGCAGGCTGGGCAATCCAACAGGTGAGGGAGAGGCCGCCATGGCAGGGCTGTCATCAGCATCAACATCAACAACGACAACGACAGCGGCACCCTCCTCAACAGCTGCGTCGAAGAGTCAGGACGTATCTGGTGATGCCGTCACACCGCACGTCGACCCTTCAAAGCCAAAGACCCGCCTCCAGATCAGGCTTGGTAGGACGCTGCTGCTGCTGCTGATGTTGATGTTGATGATGATGATGATGGTGGTGGTGGTTGATGGTGGTGGTGGTGGTGGTGGTGGCCGAGGAGTGACACGACTATTTGTTGGGATGTGGAGGTGTCGCGTGTCGTGTGCTTGTCCTGCCCATGCTCTCTCTTTCTCCCATCCACTCACCCCACCCTTTCCGTCTCGTGTCACCACGTTGGTGTGCAGCGAACGGGCAGCGTCTTGTGAGCGAATTCAACACGACCTCCACCATCAGCGATGTCATGGCCTTTATCACAGCGTACGTCTCTCCGCGATCGGCTGGTGTTGCGGTGGATGCGCTCATTCTCATGGTGTTGTGCTAGCCACCACACACACACACACACACACACACACACACACACACACACACACACACACACACACACACACACACACACACACACACACACACACACACACACACACACCCATGATCACTCACAACACCCCCGCCACCCGCCCCAATCCAATTTGTTGCGCCAGGTCTGGGTTTGGAGATCGGCCGTATGTGCTGATGAGCTCGTTCCCGCGGAAACAGCTGCAGGACGTGGACCAGACGCTGGAGGACGCGAAGCTGTGCAACGCCGTCGTCATCCAGAAGTGGGAGCAGTGAAGCCAGTGTGGTGCGTGGGTGTGGCGCGTGATGATGCAAGGCGCTCCGTGGTGATGGAACGCATGGTGGGTGTTGCATGATACGACGCATGGCATGGCATGTGAACACGCACCGTGACCACCACCCGGCCACAATCACACCGCTCGCGCACCGCCAACAACCAACCAACAACAACAACGACACAACAACACGTTCTCCCTCGGCGCTCCTTCCATTCACATCAATTGCACATTCCGGTTTCACGTCACGTGTGCGTGTTCCCAAATAAACGGTGCTGGCGTACGTGTTGTGCACACCGGTACACAACTCACTCACGACAATGCGCAAGGAATCTGATTTCATTATGGTTGCGCACAGAGACGGGCACAGCAGCAAAAAAACAAAGAAGTAACGACAAGCGACCCACCCTCGCACACACGCACACGTACACGCGCGCCGAACTCGCGCATAACATGCGTCACATGAATGAATGCGTGCACAACATGATGCGTGCAAGACAGTTAACTATGGCATACACACACACGCACACACATATGCGCACGACCAATACAAGCCCGCATCCCTTCCCCTCTTGCTCCCTGTCCTACACGCTGGCAACTATGCACCGCCATCATCATCGTCGTCATCAACATCGCCCGGGCCGCGAACGAGACCTCTGCTGCTGGCATCATCGTCATCAGCAGCATCATCATCGTAATCATCATCACCACCACCAACATTGTTGTCATCATCGTCATCATCACTTGTGGGCGCCTGTATCTGCTTCAAACTGTCATCATCATCGTCTTCATAATCGTCATCATCATCCTGCTTGTTCGGGTCAAACGGCTGCAACCCATCCGGGTGGAGTGCCGTTTCATCGAGTGCAAACCACGACGACGGCAGCGTGATGTTCAGTAGCGCCTCGAGGTCCCGGTTGTATGGCTCAAAGAACTTCTTCAGATGCGCGTCCGTGTGCGCATCCACCTGTGTGTGTGTGTGTGTGTGTGTGTGTGTGTGTGTGTGTGTGTGTGTGTGTGTGTGTGTGTGTGTGTGTGTGTATGTGTATGTGTATGTGTGTGTGTGTGAGTGTGAGTGAGTGTGTGTGTGTGAGTGAGTGTGTATGTATGTATGTATGTATGTATGTATGTATGTATGTATGTGTGTATGTATGTGTATGCGTGTGTGTGTGATGAGTGAGTGCGTTCACATGTGTGTGTGTGCGTGTGTGTGTGTGTGTGTGCGTGTGTGTGTGTGTGTATGTATGTATGTGTGTATGTATGTGTATGCGTGTGTGTGTGATGAGTGAGTGCGTTCACATGTGTGTGTGTGCGTGTGTGTGTGTGTGTGCGCGCGCGCGTGTGTGTGTGCGTATGTGTATGTGTATGTGTGAATGTAATGAACGAGTGCGTTCACATGTGTGTGTGCATGTGTGTGCGTGAGTGTCCCCACCTGATGGATGTGCGACTCTGTGAAGTTGACGCGGACGTTATCCGACGCCGTATTGAACCGCCGCTGCACCACCTGCAGTGATGATGGCGCAATCGCGCATCACGAGGGGGGGATGCATGAAGTGTACATGCATGAGTGAATACATGCATGCATGCATGCACAAATGTCGTCAACACATGACAGAAGAAGGTTGTGCAACAGCATCATCATCATCATCAACATCATCAACGTCATCATCAGCAGCAGCAGCATAGCACAATGCTGACCTTTCTGCACCGCACAACAGAGTCATCCATTCCAAGAAAGCGATACGCCTCTTTCAAGTGGCCTTGTGTGTGTGTGTGTGTGTGTGTGTGTGTGTGTGTGTGTGTGTGTGTGTGTGTGTGTGTGTGTGTGTATGTATGTGTGTGTGTGAACTCGTGTGTCAACAATTGGCGATGCTTGTTGCCCCTTCTCTGTTGACGCAGGAACGCATGCACACATGCATGCACCACCGTATGCACTCCTCCCCCTCACCTGACGGGTGCTTGAAAAAGTGGTCGTAGATGAAGAGCAGAAACTGGTCGCGCGGATAGCGCTTGAACCAGTGGCGGAGATGCACCGAGTACAGCCCCTCATACAACCCGTTGCCAGACGGCCCAAACAGCGCTGGGGTTGAGTGGTGGTGGTGGTGGTGGTGAGAGTGTTGGTGAACGAGGTGGAGGCAAACGATACATTGGTGTTGATGATGACAACAGAAGCGACCACACAACAGCGACACAAGAGCATCACAGCCCACATTCATGCGGATGTGCACGTACGTGCTTTGACTTCGAAACCGTCGATCCAATTTGGAGACGCAATAACGCGCTGCTCAAACCGCTGCAGCTGTCAGATGACGGGATGTGTGTACGTGTGTGTGTGTATGTGTGGGTGTGTACGTGTGTGTGTGTGTGTGTGTGTGTGTGTGTGTGTGTGTGAATGACGGGCGTGTGCACAAGTGTGGAATCACGTCATCTTTCAGCCGTCAATTGCAAACGGGCAGCAACGAAAAGCGTGTTTGCGAAGAGGCCATGGAACGCTGCATTCACACTCATGTGCACACACACACACACACACACCTCCTTGATGGCCCACGTGCGGAAGGGAACGGTGGGCTTCAGCCGTGATCCAAGGCGGATGCGCATCAGATACTGCAAAGGGGGGGGGGCGGGTCATGGTGTTACGGAGGTGCACTGCCAACGGTGCCAGCGCAGCAAACACACACACACACACAAAAAAAAACCCACACACATGCACATGAAACTACACACACACACACACACACACACACACACACACAAACACACACATGCGCATACGTTCACACACACACACACATGCGCATACGTTCACACAATCAACCGCGCACCTGGGAGTGCATGCGAGCCACCGGCTCGCGCAGGATGGCGAGGAACTTGACTTTGGGGCCGCAAAAGTGCATCGTGTGGTTTGGCGCAGCATAGCTCACCAGTGTGCTCACAGAAGACTCACCCGTAATCTCACCTGTGCAGTACACACACACACATACATACATATGGGTGTCAACAGCGAGCAAGAGCGTGCACATCACCCACCCCAATGTTGACCCACGCACTCTGCCTCTGCTGAGTGCAAGCATTCTTGTGTCCACCACCTGTGCACGCATCCCAACGAACCTGGCTTGAGGTGGGGGAACTTGTTATTGTATTGCTGGAGCGAATAATGCGCCTTGTGCAAGAAGTGAACCTCTCCATAAGACGGCGCTGTTTTCCGCCCTGGTAAGCAGGCATCATGGGGGAGGGTGGTGTGCGTATGAGCAAGAGAAGGGGACACACGTGGTAGCATGGATACGTATGAGGAGGGACGAAAGAGGCGATCATGGGAGGGACGGAGGAGGGGGCGAGGACGTGAGACAGGGAGGGTGGGCAAACAAAGGCAGCAACGTGCCAACACACACACACACACACACACACACACGCACACACACACACATACACACATACACACACATGCACACGCACACAGTCATGCACATGCACACACACATACACAGTCACGCACATGCACACGTGCACAGTCGACACAGACGCAAGCGCTCAACATCCAGCAACGTACGGCTCATGCTGTAGGGCTTGATGTTGGGATGGGCATTGAGGTAGTGATACAAGGAGGTCGATCCCCCTTTGCGGGCACCCATAACAAAGTACGTTGGCCGACACGTGTCTGACGTCGGAATCCAGCTCACTGAAGGACGTCACACACACACACACAATCACACGCATCCGCGTACACAACCACACACACACACACACACAATCGCACACACACACACACGCACACACACACGCGCACGCACACACAACTTGGTTCGTGAGCTTCGTCAACAATGTGAGCATGGCATACGACACGCTCACGCAGCTCACACACTGGCACAGCAGCCACACAAAACAGTACAATGTGCACACAAAGTCAAAAGGTCCTTCGCAAACGCACAGCCACAGCCCCTCAAACTCACATTCTTTCTTGTTCTTCGTGCCATCCTTGCTGTTGTTGTTGTTGCCAATGGAGGGCGATGACGCAGTCGTTGGTGCAACAAACGAGGCGGCAACAACAACGAGCGCAATAACCGCCACTGCCCACCAGCGAACGTGAAAAAAGTGGTGATCTGTCGTTGCCTGCTTTTGCCCCTCTGTCCTCACCCTTCCCTTCACCCTTGCCTCACCTATCCTCATTGTCGCTGGTGTCCCAGCACAGCAGCAGCCACCACAACCACCACCACCACAACCACCACCACCACAGCCACCACAGCCACAAGCGATGCACCGCCTCGTCCTCATCTTCTCCTGTGCGCACAACGGTTGGGGACTGAATTAAGTCTACACAACCAAGAATACTGATTTCAGTTTATTGTGCTTGTGCTACCTGCTGTGCTTCTTCCTCTTCCTCTTGTTGTTGTTCTCCACGCCTTCTTGCTCTGTCCTCTGCACCCTCTGCACCCTCTGCACCCTCTGCACCTTGCTCGGCTTGCTCACCCCCAACCCGTTGCTGCTCCCCCTGATTACGACCACCAACACCAACACCACCAACACCAGCAGCACCAGGACCAGCAGGAGCAAGGCCCGGGTTCTGGAGCAGCAGGGGCGGGATGCGTCCAAGCCGCGCCATCATCGCCCTCCTTGCCCTGCGCCGCTGTCGTCGGTGGTGCTCTTCAACAGGGTCTGCCGTGTACCGCGTCACCAGCATCGCCAGCACAACCGCAAGCGCCGCAAGCATCGCCGACGTGCCGCCGCTACAGTAGCGTGACACGTACAGGGCGGCGTCGTCGAAGGAGTGCTCATCCTCCCACACGCGCACCTGGTCCAGGATGGCAAGGTACCTCAGCACAAGGTCCAGCCGCGAGTCCCGCGTTGCAAGCTGCAGGCCTGGTGGTGGTGGTGGTGGGTGGTGGTTGGTGGTAGGGAGGGGTGGTGAGTACATGATTGGGGACTTGTTGGGGGGGATGTTGGGGATGGGAGAAGAAAGCAGCGACAACAACAACGACAACAACAGCAACGACAACGACAACAGCAGCAGCAGCAACGACAACAACAACAACGACAACAACAACAGCAGCAGCAGCAACGAAAACAACAACAACGACAACAGCAACAACAACAACGACAACAACAACAACGACAACAACAGCAGCAGCAGCAGCAACGAAAACAACAACAACGACAACAACAGCAACGACAACAACAACAACAGCGACAACAGCAGCAGCAGCAGCAGCAGCGACACGATACCAAGGTCGATGAATGTCTGCAAATCGCCCAGCATCAGCTCTTCCGCCTGTGTGTCGCGCAGGCCCATTGCATCTTGAAACTCTGAGGCAACGCACAACCAGCACGCATGAGATGAGGGTCAAGAGACGACACGCAAAAAAGAACACGTCGCCGTACACGTACACACACGCACGCACATACACGCACTTGCACACGCACGCACTCGCACAGACAAACTCGCAAGTGCAGTCTGGCCCTTGTGTCTGGGTTGCTGTGACTCTGTTATTACCTTGGACGCTGCGGTGAAGTGGCTTCCATATTGGGTGCGTGTGGTCTGGAATTGGACAGCTAAAGGACGGGTCCATGTGTCCATCCATCGCATCGCTGACCCCAGTCAGTTTCATGATGAAAAACAGCAGCGACCCAAACTCAGTTGTCCTGTGAACACGAGTGGTGTTGATGAGTGTACACCAAAAGACAGCAATTTGCACAGTACACTCACACGCACACACTATCTCTCTCTCTTGACGCGCTGGTTCATGTATCGACAACACACGCACACACACACACACAAACACACACACTAACACACGCACAAGCACATCACACACACTAACACACGCACAAGCACATCACACACACGCACGTTGGGTCTGGGAACGTGTGCATGACGGAGCTGTTGCGGAAGACGATAATTGTCGGCGTGTGTGTCAGCTCGTATCTCCTCCAGTCCAGACTGCCGTGACAGCGGCGCGACAAGGAGGAATATGGAAGGAGTGCGGTGAGCAGGTGCAAATGCAAGCATGCACGTGCATGCGAGTAACCGTGCATGCGAACGCATGCCCAAACACATGCAAATGCATACACGTGCGTGCAAGCAAGCAAACACGCAACGACTGACATGTTTGAGGGCGCGCCGACGTCGACCCAGAGGTAGTTGACGTTTGCAACAAATGGTTGCACAGCGGCAAAGAGCGGTGCGCGCATGAGGGAGTGGGTGCAGTGCTCACGGTAGAAAAAAGCAATCGTGTGCTCGTGTCGTGCATTTGCCGCCACTGCAGCAGATGGCACAAGACACAGGTTGCATGCACGTTGTGGTTGCCGTTGTATGCATGCACGCACGGGTTGCAGCGGGGTGGCATGATAGGATGGTTGTGAGCGAAAGGACGACCGAGGGAAGGAGAGAGGCAGCATGTGATATGATGCATGACACGCCTTTGCACGCACAGCTGTCAATCAGCGGCCACAATACGTGTGCGTGGGACAACACAACAGCA